TCGATTTACCCATATTCCGCTGTTTCGATTGTTCGATTAATAGATTTTCAATTTTTCAGTTTTTCCGAAACCATTTTTTCCCGTTGTCATCCACTTTAAATATACAGGGTGATAAAAAATGACGTATTTGCTTGACGGTACGTCATTGAAAATGCTAGAAAAAAGATCTCTGAACCAAATTTTTGAAAATATTAAACTTCAAAATTGAAGAATTAACTTCGTAATGCTAATGTGTCTTAATATGAATTTTATTGAAGATTTAAAATTCCGAGAAAAATTATCAAAAATGACAATTGTCTAAATGCAGTTTTTTAAAACAAATTAAAATCACGTTAATTCTTCGATTTTGACGTTCAATATTTTTAAAAGTTGATTTTTTTTTTTTTAATTTTTGTAAACCTTAGCAACCAACGTATTTTTTCTCATTTCAAACAATTTTTCTCTACCCGATCAGACCGTCAAGTCTCTTCGGCCAATCGCATCGCCTCCCTCGTCCCGCAACCGGTTTCCCTCAGCACGTGACCTTGGCCCCGCCCCGGCGCATCCCCTGCACACCAACGTGCCTCCGACATCAAAGAGAAATCATAATAACACAATTTCTTCATAATTTAATTAGCGCAGCAATATCCAAGTTTGCAGGGTGTGATTTAACGACGATTTCAATTAAATTCACGCCCCAACGACCCTGTTTAGACAAGTGCACAACGCCGCCTAATTGGCCTAGTTTTCTGTTCCCCGAAAAATCCACCAATTAGCTCGCCACACACCCTTTTTAATCGGACGTGCCGTCGAAATTTTTGCGACATGATCCCTTTCTGAGACGTCCCTGTGTTTCGGTTTCGCGACGAGACTGTGACTTCGTGATGGAATCGATTGCGAGACGGCAGAGGTGGCGAGTGATGGATTCATTGCATTTATCACAGTCTGAAGGGGCTTAGGGTAGAGTTTCCGAAGAGAAGTTCTTTGAGCCGGATAGTGTCACGTGATACAGATACAAAGGCCCAATGGAAACAGTTAGTCCCGTTTTTTTTTTTTCGGGATTACGGGTTTTCGGGATTACGCGCGTGTGGGGCGAAAGATCGGGTGTCAACCTTTTTAACAAAAAAATAAGCGCAAAAAGTTGTCTCGGAAGGTTGAAAAATAACCTCCACCAATTAAATTTGATGTGGCGGGGTGGCGCTTCGCGCCACCAGTGTTGGGTTACGTAATCTAAAATCCATAACACGCGTCGTCTTCTACGGAGAGTTGCTTTTAATTACGCGGAGTACATTTAAATTTAAACCGGTCTTCTTTGAATACATCAATTGTCGTGTCATTAAAAAATTTTAACACTGATGGAACGAGTTACGGGCTAGTAGGGGAGCTGGGGGCGAGTAAACAACTAGGTAAACTGCGCTGCAGTCGACATGGCTTATCGACTTGGCACAAAGGCGGCAAAAAAAGCCATTATCCTTTCTATTGATTCAATGTCGACTTCCTATTTACAGAGTAGAATAAACAGTTCGTCGCTATTTACTCGCTAAATAAATAATAAATACACGTGGTTGAAACTGATTAAAATTTGATCGACGATCCGACAACACCTCTCGAGCGATAATTCCGGAGGAAATACTTCGAAGAGAGGAAAACGTTCCAGAAATGTGTTGTTTGAAGCATGTAACGAATTCGCTGAGGCGTTAGTAATGTTACATAGTGGTTAGGTTCGAGAGTTATTGACTTTTATCACTGTGGAGCGCACGGCAGCATGTTTAGCGCATACAACAAGAAAGAACAAAAGTGCTGTGCATGTCGTGATGACGCACAACGAAAAATAAAAATCAAGGATACTTCTAGATGGTTGAGTTATTGGTGGATCAAACGCTGAATAGTTTCAAAGCTAGCAAAATAAGGTTAAAAAATTTGGTCAAACAAACACATGTACAATAAGTTTATTAAATGTTATATTGCATATAATCTGAAATTGTTAAATTGTAATTAATAGCATTTAAAATTCCTTTATGGTCAATTCTCAGGAACGTGGTATCGCGAAATATTTAAAAATATTGCTGCCGATGTTCCTCTAATCAATGATTAATACTCTTACGTAGTTGATAAGCGACAGACATGAATGAAAAGAAGGTTTTACCAATCTAGCAAAATTATCCAAACAAAGATACATTACATTAACCTTAATTATGTCAAACGAACCTCAACTCCTTGCCTACAATTAACTGAAATATTTTCAGAAAACTTCAGTCTGAGAGGTTTCTGGATATTCGTCAAAAACATTAAATAGAGTTTCTTATTCTCTTGGTTCCAGTTATACCACTTGACGTTAACCAACCTATAAAAAATATCATCCGACTAAAATTACAAATATTCAAAAATTTGTCTCTAAATCATTTCAACACCTTACCGCATCTTCAATTTTCTGGCCATAAGCACTAATTCCACTTAACGTAAGAAACGAACACAACGTAAGCAACAAGAACCGCCAGTACCACAACTGCGATGTAAGTTCGTCCACCTACAAATTCGATTTAGAGCGACCTGTGTATGACCCAAGAACCAATACCGTAAAGATGTGTATAACAATACTTATAAATAAAAAACATCCTTCCAACTCTAAAATTAACACCAAATTTTCTGCCCTTCTCATAGTTGTTCTAGTGTATCTAAAAATTGTGCCTGCAGTTAGAAAAAAAAATCTGGAAGATGTATATGAACCTGGAAACGCTAATATGATGCTTTAAACAAAACAGCAATCTTTCTTTGATAACGTTTTGCGATTCTGTGTCCAGAAATTCATTGTCCTCGTAATTTTTGTTGATGTTTCCTATGTTGTGCAGCAACACGTTTGCTTGTAATTTAAAATGAAGTACCGCGTAAGCTAAGTAATGTGCTGGTGATATTGCTCCTGCACAACCTAAAGCCACGCAACAACACTTAAATCCCCATGTCACAAAATATTCCAACTCGGGAAAAAACTCTTGAGATAAAGAAAAAACATACAAGATATCTTTGTCCCCTTTCGATGGAATGGCAAATAATATTCCAGCAATCACTGCAAAAATGAGACTACTTATCATGTACGTAGCAGCTTGAATTAATTCCTTTTTGTTGTCTTTGCAACTTGAGTTATTGTCATGTTTCAACTTTTGGACATATTCTAGTACTAGTTTTTTAGTTTGGGGCACGTAGATCAAAGCACTCAGCAACTGAAAATCCGGGTAAGTCAGTTGTTTAAATGACAGAATGATAGTTACGTATAATATTATGAAATACGAAGGTCCGAACTGGATAAAGTAATCTAGATGGAATTTCTGCAGAAATAGAACTAACTGAAGTAAAGACACGGTTGTCAAAAATATGATCAGATTGTACACTATAAAATTGGCGATTTGCAGATCGAAAAAATCTATGCATGCCAGCCTGCATAATCTGAGATACTTTTCCTCTGAAAAAATGCCACAAATGAGATTGAGTTGCTTTTTATTTTTGCATATGTTTCAATGAAATAGCGAAAATTAAATTTTAACGTACCATTCATAGTAGTAGTGCAACAATTTCAAACGTCTCTCCTTCACTGAAGACTAGATACGTACTGTGCAGCGACAAATCGAAATTTAATGAGGCTATCTTTGCTTACTTAATGTTAAAAATGTATCCCGACTTTACATAAATTTGAAAAACTTTTCCAGTAACCTTCGTTCTACGATCATTGTAGATACATAAAATAACTTCACTAATAACGGAAAAATTTTCTCTAAAAAGAGTTTTAAAACCAGCAACTTAGCACTGCTTGGTATACGATTTGAAGAGGAATGATGAAGACTGGAGGTTTGTCTCCGCCTTTCAAAAAAATAGTGCAATTAATGTGCGTAACTGTGTTTTTTGGCATTAAATTGAAAATTGCTGAACAATTAATTAATTAATAATAATAATAAAAAAATAAAAAATATGTAGTGAATTTATTTGAATTCAAATCTGGCGCCGGATTTTTGACATCTCGAGAGAGTGGAGCGCCCTCTGGAGAGATGCGTTGGAGAGAGGGGGGCGGTTGTGTCAATGTGTTAAGAACGTGTAGCCATTTTAGTCAATATAATTTATTAAATGAATTTATGGAAATTGTATGTGTACTGCCTTGCCATCGAGAATATTGAGACCCCCCAACAAATATTAGAAAATCACTGCTGGCTTCCCTCTAATCAATGATTAATTTTCTTATGTAGCTGATTTGCAAAAGACATGAATGTGAGGAACGTTTTACCAATCTAACAAAATTTATCCAAACATAGCCAGATACCTTTTATTAATATTATATGTCATACGAACCTCAATATTTTGATGTGATGTTTCAAACAGAACTTATATACTTAAGCTTTTTCAATGTAGAAGAAATCGAATTTATTTTAAAATCTATTATCACCTAAGGTTATAAAAATAACAAAAAATAGTAATTAAAATAAAATGTAGGTATAGTCAACTATTTTTTTTATCCCGTCATAAGATGGGCAATGCACACCATTTAGTTTTTAATTAAAAATATATTGGTCGCTTGAATAAAATAAATCAAACAAATACAGTCAACAATAAGTTTATTAGATGTTATATTACATTAAAAATATTTATAATTCTGTGTTACTATTGCTGAAGTTAGGAAAATTTTAAATGTTCTACAGTGTTCACTAGTGAAGTTTTAATCTGAAAAAATATTAGGTACGCCGAATATTAGTAAATACAAAATTCCGTAATCTGAAACTATAAAGTATGTAATTAGTAGCATTTAAAATTACTTCATGATCACTGATCATTCCTCAGAAATATAGCACCACGAAATTTTTGAAAATATTGATGCCGATGTTCCTCTAATTAATGATTAATACTCTTATGTAGTCGATAAGCAACAGACATGAATGAAAAGAAAGTTTTACCAATCTAAAATAAAATTACCCGAACCTAGATATACCACATTAACATTATCTCAGACGAACCTCAAGTCCTTGTCTGTAATTAATTGAAATATTTTCAGAAAACTTCAGTTTAAAAGGTTTCTGGGTATTTGCCAAAAACATTAGATACATTTCCTTATTCTGACGGTTCCAGTGATACCACTTAACATTAACCAATCTGTAAAATATATCGTCCGACTAAAAAATCAAATATTCAGAAACTTAATTTTAAATCACTTAATCACCTTACCGTATCTTCAAATTTCTGACCGTAAGCACTAAGTCCAGCTAACGTAAAAAAAGAGGACAATGTAAGCGCCAAAAACCGCCAGAACCACAACAACGATGGAGTTTTACCAAACTAAAAATTTTTCTTAAAATGACATACGTATTTGTTATTCGAAAACCAGTACCGTAAACATGTGTATTACAAGACTTATAAACACAACACATCCTTCCAACTCTAAAATCAACACCAAATTTTCTGTTCTTCTCGATGCGGTTCTAGTGGATCTAGAAATTGTGCCTACAGTTTGAAAAAAAATCTGGAAGATGTATATGAACCTGGAAATGTTAATATGATGTTTCAAACACAACAGCAACCTCTTTTTGACAACATTTTGCGTTTCCGTGTCCGGAAATTCATTTTTCTCGCAATTTTTGTTGATGTTTTCTATGTTAAGCAGCAACACGTTTGCTTGTAGTTGAAAATGAAGTAACGCGTAGACAAGGTAATGTGCTGGTGATATTGCTCCTACAAAACTTAAAAGCATGCAACAACACTTAAATCCCCATGTCACAAAATATTCCAACTCGGGAAAAAACTCTTGAGATAAAGAAAAAGTGTAAAAAATATCTTTGTCTTCTTCCGATGGAATAGCAAATGATATTCCACAAATTACTCCACAGAACACAATACTGATCATGTACGCAGCTGCTTGAGATAATTCTTTTTTGTTTTGTTTGCAAACTGAATTATTGTCATATTCTATTGTGTTCCAATGCTTCAAGTCTTGAACATATTTTTGTGTGTTTTTTTTATTTGAGGGCACGTAGAACATAATAGTCAGGAACTGAAAATCCGGATAAATTATTTACGTAAATTTCATAATGATTATTTACATATAATAGTATGAAATATGAAGGTCCAAACTGGATAAAGTAATCTAACTGGAATTTCTGAAGAAATAGTACTAACTGAAATAAAGACATGGTTGTCAAAAAGATGATCAGAATGTACATCATAAAATTGACGATTTCTAGCTCGAAAAATTCTATGCATGCCAACCTGCATATTCTGAGATACTTTTCTTCTGAAACAATACCACAAATGAGATTCAGTTGCGTCGCAATAGCTATAACAATGTGGTAATATTCACCTGTCTTTATTATTAACATTGTTAATGTTTTAATTTACACATAAGGCTTTTCTTTTTGTGTATGTTTCAACGAAATGGCGAAAATTAAATTTTAACTTACCATTCATAGCAGTAATGCAACTGTTTCGGAAGTTTCTGCTTCACTGAAGAATAGATACGTACTGTGCAACAACAAATCGCAATTTAATGAGGCCATCTTTGCATATTTAATGTTAAAAAGTAGCAAACATGTTTAAAAATTTATCCTAATTTTATTTAAATTTCAGAAAACTAGTCCTGTAACCTTGATCCTACGATCATTGTAGGTACATAAAATGTCTTCATTAATAACGCACAAATTTCTCTAAAAAGAGTTTTAAATTATATAGCTACTTAGCCTTGCTCGGTACACGATTTAGTTGTCACATGGATTGTGTTTACTCTCGAAATATTCATACTCCGATAAAGTACGATAAAAACTGGTGGTTTATTGTCTCCAAAAAAGCGCATTTATTATTTATTCAGTCTAGCAAGTATAAGCAAATGTGAAACTGACCACTCATTTTGGAGAGAAATAATTTTAAAAGATACACAGAAATCAGAACGATCCAAGTAAGTTTATTAAGTACTACATTATTTAAACAATATTTATATGGGGTGTATGGTGTTGTTAAGGTGCTGGGACATTACAAAGATTTTAAAGGTTTATTAAATGAATTTAATAAACCTTGAACTACATCTGCTACTAAAAAATATTAGAAAATCACTGTTGGCTTCCCTCTAATTAATGATTAACTTTCTTATGTAGCTGATTTGCAACAGACATGAATGTGAAGAACGTTTTACCAATCTAACAAAATTTATTCAAATATATAATTTTTATTAATATTATGTCATGCGAACCTCAACACCTTGTCGATAATTAATCGAAACATCCTCAGAGAAATGCAGTCTGAAAGGTTTCTGGGTATTTGTCAAAAACATTAAATACAGTTTCTTATTCTCTTGGTTCCAGTTATACCACTTGACGTTCACTAACCGATAAAAAATATCGTCCGACTAAAATTAAAAATATTCAGAAACGCATCTCTAAAAGTCTTTTAATCACCTAACCGCATCTTCAATTTTCTGACCATAAGCACTAAGTCCACCTAACGTGAAAAACGAACACAATGTAAGCAACAACAACTGCCAGCACCACAATTGCGATTGAATTTCGTCCACCTAAAAATTCCACATTCAGCTACCTATGTTTGTATTATCCAAAAGCGAGTACCGTAAACACGTGGATCACAATATTTATAAACATAAGACATCCTTCGAGTACTAAAGGAAGCACCAAATATTTGGTTTTTCTTAGAACTGTTCTAGTAGCTCTAAAGATCACACAATCGTTACCAAAATTACTGGAGATGTTTTACAATACCTGGAAATTTTGATGTGATGCTTCAAACAGGACAGCAACCTTTCGTTGATGACGTTCTGCGATTCCGGGTCCAGAAATTCATCGTTGTCGTAATTTCCGTTAATGTTTTCTATGTTGTGCAGCAGTACGTTTTCTTGTAATTTAAAGTGTACTAACCCGTAAATAAGGTAATGTGCTGGTGACATTGTTGTTATACAGGCCAAAGGTACTACTGAACATTTAAATCCCCATGTCAGTAAATATTTCCACTCTGGAAAATGTTGTTGAATCAAAGAATAAATAAAAAATATATCTGGGTCCTTTTCCGATGGAATGGTAAATAAGATTCCAGAAATCGCTGCAAGGACGAAACTAATGATCATGTATGCAACAGCGTGAGCTAATTCTTTTTCGTTTTGTTTGCAAACTGTATCACTGTCACTGTGTATTTCCCCAAATTTCAAGTCCTGGACAAATTCCGGTGCCATTTTTTTGCATATAGGCACGTAAATTAAGGTGGTTAGCATCTGAAATTCTCGTTAAAACAGTCTTATAAGTTACATAAGGATACATTACATATAATGTTAAAAAATAAGAAGGTCCTAGCTGAATAAAGTAGTCCAGTTGAAATTTCTGCACAAACAGAACACACTGAAATATAGCCGTAATTGCCAAAAGGATGATCAAATTATACAGTATCAAATTGACGAATCGTATTTGGAAAATCTCGATACATGCCAGTCTGTATATTTTGAGGTACTTTTTCTCTGAAAAAAAAAACACAAGTGAGATTTATTTGCTTAGGAATCGATATAATAATCAACTATAGTCTAGTATTTTTGTGTTTTTAATTGTGTTACAATGAAACCGTGCAGAATTAAATTCTGAGTCACCATACAACATATTCAAAATCAATTTTAACTTACCATTCATAATCGTAGCAAACTACCAACTTGTCTACGTGCTATTTTCAAGACTGAACACGTACTATGAACAACAAACTGCAATTTAATGACAACCTCTGTGCATAATTAATGCTTAAAAAAGAATAAAATATTCAAAAATCCATCGTGGCTATTATCAGTTCCATTAATCATTAGGCAAGCTTCTACTTCTGTTAAATTGAGAAGAATTCGAATTTATTTTAAAATCTATTGTCAACTAAGGTTATAAAAATAACAAAAAATAGTAATTAAAATAAAATGTGTAGTCAACTAATCTTTTTAACCCGTCATAAGTTGGGGAACACCTATTACATTTTTCTTATATTAATTGAAAACATGAATCAAACAAATGCTGTCTACAATAAGTTTATTAGATGTTATATTACATTAAAAATATTTATAATTCTGTGTTACTATTACTGAAGTTAGGAAAATTTTAAATGTTCTAAAGTGTTCATTAGTGATGTGATAATCTGAAAAAAGCGTATTTCCGTCGCACTCAAAACTAATTACGAGAAGATGTGAACAGAAAATTCCGTAATCTGAAACTATAAAGTATGTAATTAGTAGCATTTAAAATTACTTCATGATCACTGATCAACCCTCAGAAATATAGCACCACGAATTATTTAAAAAATATTGCTGCCGATGTTCCTCCAATTAATGATTAACAGTCTTATGTAGTTGATAAGCAACAGACATGAACGAAAAGAAGGTTTTACCAATCTAAAATAAAATTACCTGAACCTAGATATACCACTTTAACATTATCTCAGACGAACTTCAATTCCTTGACTGTAATTAATTGAAATATTTTCAGAAAACTTCAGTTTAAAAGGTTTCTGGGTATTTGCCAAAAACATTAGATACATTTCCTTATTCTGACGGTTCCAGTGATACCACTTAACATTAACCAATCTGTAAAATATATTGTCCGACTAAAAATTCAAACATTTAGAAACGTAATTTTAAATCACTTAATCACCTTACCGTATCTTCAAATTTCTGACCGTAAGCACTAAGTCCAGCTAACGTAAAAAAAGAGGACAATGTAAGCCCCAAAAACCGCCAGAACCACAACAACGTTGGAGTTTTACCAAACTAAAATTTTTTCTTAAAATGACATACGTATTTGTTATTCGAAAACCAGTACCGTAAACAAGTGTATTACAAGACTTATAAACAAAACACATCCTTCCAACTCTAAAATCAACACCACATTTTTTGCTCTTCTCAATAAGGTTCTAGTGGATCTAGAAATTGTGCTTACAGTTAGCAAAAAAAAATCTGAAAGGTGTATAAGAACCTGGAAATGCTAATATGATGTTTCAAACACAACAGCAACCTCTCTTTGATAACATTTTGCGTTTCCGTGTCCAGAAATTCATTTTTCTCGTAATTTTTGTTGATGTTTTCTATGTTGTGCAGCAAGACGTTTGCTTGTAATTGAAAATGAAGTAACGCGTAAACAAGGTAATGTGCTGGTGATATTGCTCCTACAAAACCTATTGGCACGCAACAACATTTATATCCCCATGTCACAAAATTTTCCAACTCGGGAAAAAACTCTTGAGATAAAGAAAAAGGGTAAAAAATATCTTTGTCTTCTTTCGATGGAATAGCAAATAATATTCCAACAGTTGTTCCACAGAAGAAAATACTGATCATGTACGCAACTGCTTGGAATAATTCTTTTTTGTCTGGTTTGCAAACTGAATTATTGTCATGTTTTATGTTGTTCCAAAGCTTCAAGTCTTGAACATATTTTTGTATCATTTTTTTGGTTGAGGGCACGTAGATCATAATAGTCAGGAACTGAAAATCCGGGTAAATTATTTACGTAAATTTCATAGTGATTATTTACATATATTAGTATGAAATATGAAGGTCCAAACTGGATAAAGTAATCTAACTCAAATTTCTGAAGAAATAGTACTAACTGAAATAAAGACATGGTTGTCAAAAAGATGATCAGACAGTACATCACAAAATTGACGATTCTCAACTCGAAAAATTCGATGCATCCCAACCCGCATATTCTGAGATACTTTTCTTCTGAAAAAATACCACAAATCAATTCAGTTGCGTTGCAATAGATATAACAATGTAGTAATATTCACCTCTTTTTATTATCAACATTGTTAATGTTTTAATTTACACGTAAAGCTTTTTATTTTGTGTATGTTTCAACGAAATAGCGAAAATTAAATTTTAACTTACCATTCATTGTAGTGATGCAAGTTTCGGACGTTTCTCCTTCACTGAAGACTAGACACGTACTGTGCAGCGACAAATCGCAATTTAATGAGGCCATCTTTGCATATTTAATGTTAAAAAGTAGCAAAGATGTTTACAAAAGTATCCTTATTTTATTTGAATTTGAAAAGACTTTTCCAGTAACCTTCATTCTGCGATCATTGCAGGTACATAATATACCCTCATTAATAACGCATAAATTTCTCTAATGAGAGTTTTAAACTAGCAACTTAGCCCTGCTTGGTACGCGATTTATTTGTCACATGAATTGTTTACTCACGAAATATTCATACTCTAACAGGCATGATAAATACTGGAGGTTTGTCTCCGTTTTTCAAAAAAATGTTGCAATTATTATTTGTTTTGTATAGTGTTTGCTACGATAAGACTAATTTTGGCAAATCACATAGCCTCTAGAAAAATAGAGGGCGGGTGGGCGGGCCTAGTATTTGCTAAGATAAGTCTAATTTTGGCAAATGACATAACTTCCAAGAAAATAAAGGGTGGGTGGGCGGTACCAGTTCTTTTTAAGGTGAAACTGACTGTGCCAAATGACATACCCTCGAAGAAAATAAAGGCTGGGTAGGCGGCGCTATTGCTCGTTTATAAAAGACTCTGTGGCAAAAATTTAAAGTTAGCCCCGCCCACCCGCCCCTTCTATCAGTTTTTTTTTCTTCTGAAATAAGAAATACATTTTATAGCAAATAGTATAACAAAAATATTACGATTAGAGCTTTTTTTCTTTTTTAACAGCCTACATTCTATTCCTTCCCATTCCCACTCTACAAAAGAACATATAATTGGCCCCGCCCACCCGCCCGTTTTCATTTCAGCAATTCATTTTATCTAGTTTGAATTAAAGGAACAGGGAGGGTGGGGGGGCTAGTACTTGCTAAGATAGGACTGTTTTTGATAAATTGTTTAAAAATTTTCAGATTTTTGCAATTTTTCGATCAGCAATTTCACGAGTTCTCAATTTTTAATTTTTCAGATTTTTATTTCATCCATCTTTCGATTTGCAATTTTCAGTTTTTCATTTTTTGTTAGTACTTGCTAAGATAAGACTGATTTTGGCAAATCACGTAGTCCATACTAATATAATATTTAAAATTTGTGACAAATCACGCACAGACAAGCAGTCTGGCAAATATCAGGAAAGTGTGAAATTAAGCACGCATTCAGGAGAGAGAGTATTTTAAAAGATACACAGAAATCAACCAATCCAAGTAAGTTTATTAAGTAGTACATAATAAACAACATTTATTAGACGTGTATGATGTTGTTAGGTGCAAAAAAAAATTACAAAGACCTTAAAGGTTTATCAAGTAAAGTGAATTAATAAAATAATTTATATAATTTATACACACTACGCACTTTCACAACCCGAATTAATGTATGCTTGACCAAAAGCGTTTGTTTTTGTTCCAAATTTTAATCGCAAAGTGAATGTGCGTAACATAGTGTTTTTTGCGTTAAATGGAAAATTGGTGAACATTCAATTAATTAATAAATTACATTTAAAACTGCATTAAAGGCAAACCCTTGAACTACACCTACTACTAAAAAATATTAGAAAATCACTTTAGGCTTCCCTCTAATTAATGATTAATTTTATTATGTAGCTGATTTGCAACAGACATGAATGTGAAGAACGTTTTACCAATCTAACAAAATTTATCCAAATATAAACACATACATTTTATTAATATTATGTCATACGAACCTCAACTCCTTGTCGGTAATTAATCGAAATATCTTCAGAGAAATGCAATCTGAAAGGTTTCTGGGTATTTGTCAAAAACATTAAATACAATTTCTTATTCTCTTGGTTCCAGTTATACCACTTGACGTTCACTAACCGATAAAAAATATCGTCTGACTAAAATTTAAAATATTCAAAAACGCATCTCTAAGTCTTTTAATCACCTAACCGCATCTTCAATTTTCTGACCATAAGCACTAAGTCCACCTAACGTGAAAAACGAACACAATGTAAGCAACAACAACTGCCAGCACCACAATTGCGATTGAATTTCGTCCACCTAAAAATTCCACATTCAGCTACCTATGTTTGTATTATCCAAAAGCGAGTACCGTAAACACGTGGATCACAATATTTATAAACATAAGACATCCTTCGAGTACTAAAGGAAGCACCAAATATTTGGTTTTTCTTAGAACTGTTCTAGTAGCTCTAAAGATCACACAATCGTTACCAAAATTACTGGAGATGTTTTACAATACCTGGAAATTTTGATGTGATGCTTCAAACAGGACAGCAACCTTTCGTTGATGACGTTCTGCGATTCCGGGTCCAGAAATTCATCGTTGTCGTAATTTCCGTTAATGTTTTCTATGTTGTGCAGCAGTACGTTTTCTTGCAATTTAAAGTGTACTAACCCGTAAATAAGGTAATGTGCTGGTGACATTGTTGTTATACAGGCCAAAGGTACTACTGAACATTTAAATCCCCATGTCAGTAAATATTTCCACTCTGGAAAATGTTGTTGAATCAAAGAATAAATAAAAAATATATCTGGGTCCTTTTCCGATGGAATGGTAAATAAGATTCCAGAAATCGCTGCAAGGACTAAACTAATAATCATGTATGCAACAGCTTGAGCTAATTCTTTTTCGTTTTGTTTGCAAACTGCATTACTGTCACTGTGTATTTCCCCAAATTTCAAGTCCTGGACAAATTCCGGCGCCATTTTTTTGCATATAGGCACGTAAATTAAGGTGGTTAGCATCTGAAATTCTCGTTAAAACAGTCTTATAAGTTACATAAGGATACATTACATATAATGTTAAAAAATAAGAAGGTCCTAGCTGAATAAAGTAGTCCAGTTGAAATTTCTGCACAAACAGAACACACTGAAATATAGCCGTAATTGCCAAAAGGATGATCAAATTATACAGTATCAAATTGACGAATCGTATTTGGAAAATCTCGATACATGCCAGTCTGTATATTTTGAGATACTTTTCCTCTGAAAAAATAACACAGATGAGGTTTATTTGCTTAGGAATTGATTTAATAATCAACTATAGGTCTAGTATTTTTGTGTTTTTAATTGTGTTACAATGAAGCTGTGCAGAATTAAATTCTGAGTCACCATACAGCATATTCAAAATCAATTTTAACTTACCATTCATAGTCGTAGTAATCTACCAACTTGTCTACGTGCTAGTTTCAAGACTGAACACGTACACTAAACAACAAACTGCAATTTAATGACAACCTCTGTGCATACTTAATGCTTAAAAAAGAGTAAAATATTTAAAAATCCATCGTGGTTGTTACGAGTTGCATTAATCATTAGGCAAGCATATCTGTTTCAGTTAAATAGAGAAGAATTCGAAATGTTTTAAAATCCATTATCAACTAAGATTATAAACATAACAAAAAAGAGTAATTAAAATAAAATGTGTAGTCAACTAATCTTTTTATCCCGTCATAAGTTGGGCAACACCTATTACATTTTTCTTATATTAATTGAAAACATGAATCAAACAAATGCAGTCTACAGTAAGTTTATTAGATGTTATATTACATTAAAAATATTTATAATTCTGTGTTACTATTGCTGAAGTTAGGAAAATTTTAAATGTTCTAAAGTGTTCATTAGTGAAGTGATAATCTGAAAAAAACTTTGCGTATTTCCGTCGCACTCAAAACTAATTACGAGAAGAAGTGAACAGAAAATTCCGTAATCTGAAACTATAAAGTATGTAATTAGTAGCATTTAAAATTACTTCATGATCATTGATCAACCCTCAGAAATATAGCACCACGAATTATTTAAAAAATATTGCTGCCGATGTTCCTCTAATTAATGATTAACAGTCTTGTGTAGTTGATAAGCCACAGACATGAACGAAAAAAAGGTTTTACCAATCTAAAATAAAATTACCCGAACCTAGATATACCACATTAACATTATTTCAGACGAACCTCAATTCCTTGACTGTAATTAATTGAAATATTTTCAGAAAACTTCAGTTTAAAAGGTTTCTGGGTATTTGCCAAAAACATTAGATACATTTCCTTATTCTGACGGTTCCAGTGATACCACTTAACATTAACCAATCTGTAAAATATATTGTCCGACTAAAAATTCAAACATTCAGAAACGTAATTTTAAATCACTTAATCACCTTACCGTATCTTCAAATTTCTGACCGTAAGCACTAAGTCCAGCTAACGTAAAAAAAGAGGACAATGTAAGCGCTAAAAACCGCCAGAACCACAGCAACGTTGGAGTTTTACCAAACTAAAAATTTTTCTTAAAATGACATACCTATTTGTTATTCGAAAACCTGTACCGTAAACATGTGTATTACAAGACTTATAAACAAAACACATCCTTCCAACTCTAAAACCAACACCGAATTTTCTGCTCTTCTGAATGCGGTTCTAGTGGATCTAGAAATTGTGCTTACAGTTACCAAAAAAATCTAGAAGTTGTATGTCAACCTGGAAATGCTAATATGATGTTTCAAACACAACAGCAATCTCTTTTTGATAACATTTTGCATTTCCTTGTCTGGAAATTCATGTTTCTCGTAATTTTTGTTGATGTTTTCTATGTTGAGCAGCAACACGTTTGCTTGTAATTGAAAATGAAGTAACGCGTAAACAAGGTAATGTGCTGGTGATATTGCTCCTACAAAACTTATAAGCACGCAACAACACTTAAATCCCCATGTCACAAAATATTCCAACTCGGGAAAAAACTCTTGAGATAAAGAAAAAGGGTAAAAAATATCTTTGTCTTCTTCCGATGGAAAAGCAAATGATATTCCACAAATTACTCCACAGAACACAATACTGATCATGTACGCAACTGCTTGAGATAATTCTTTTTTGTTTTGTTGGCATACTGAATTATTGTCATATTTTATAGTGTTCCAACGCTCCAAGTCTTGAACATATTTTTGTATGTTTTTTTTAGTTGAGGGCACGTAGATCATAATAGTCAGGAACTGAAAATCCGGGTAAATTATTTACGTAAGTTTCATAATGATTATTTACGTATATTAGTATGAAAAATGAAGGTCCAAACTGGATAAAGTAATCCAACTGGAATTTCTGAAGAAATAGTACTAACTGAAATAAAGATATGGTTGTCAAAAAGATGATCAGATTGTACATCACAAAATTGACAATTCGCAGCTCGACAAATTCGATGCATCCCAACCTGCATATTTTGAGATAATTTTCTTCTGAAAAAATACCACAAATGAATTCAGTTGCGTTGCAATAGATATAACAATGTAGTAATATTCACCTCTTTTCATTATCAACATTGTCAATGTTTTAATTTACACATAACGCTTTTCTTTTTGTGTGTGTTTCAACGAAATAGCGAAAATTAAATTTTAACTTACCATTCATTGTAGTAATGCAACAATTTCGGAAGTTTCTCCTTCACTGAAGACTAGATACGTACTGTGCAGCGACAAATCGCAATTTAATGAGGCTATCTTTGCATACTTAATGTTAAAGTTAGCAAAGATGTTTACAAAGGGGTACTTATTTTATTTAAATTTGAAAAGACTTTTCCAGTAAACCTTAGTCTTCGATCATTATAGGTAAATAAAATGCTTTCATTAATGACGCACAAATTTCTCTAACGAGAGTTTTAAACTAGCAACTTAGCCCTGCTTGGTACGCGATTTAGTTGCCACATGAATTGATTACTCACGAAATATTCATAATCTAGAAAGGCATGATAAGAACTGAAGATTTCGTAAAGAGTGCATTTATTATTTATTCCACGCTTTGATTCGAAATTTCAAAGTTAAATTGTGATTGGTAAACCACAAGTGGAGGAGTACAATATGTATCGATTACAGGACCTCCTTAGCTAATGCTCGTCCAGTAAAAATAATAAAATTTAATTAACCCATAACAATACCGTCCCATAAATGCAAACCCGCAACCTCTTTTCCTCCACCTGCACGCAACCCGGCGCCCCAATTCTCGAGACAACCGTCCCCGAAAAACTCGCTAATTGAATCATCAAAGAGCAAAACAGTACAGCTTATAATGAAATCACCTTTGAAAGTTCGCAATGTTTTCAACTTCATTTAAATTTCCCCAAATCCCAATTTAATTCGAATTACCGAAAAGTTAGAGCTTCCGAAGACGGCGCACACAATTTCCGCCGCCTCTGATAAATAAAGTTTTGATAAGTTCTTTCCGGTTTGTTATCCGGAATAATCCGGCACGGGCGCGAAAATAAGAAAAACAAATTAATCCCAACATTGTCGGACAGTTCCTGACACACAGACCGAGCGAGCGCCAGACAGGACGACGAACCGAACGAGCTTTCGCTGCGGAGAGCTTAATTATTTGGAATTTTTCCGGAGGGTTTAATGGATTTCGGGATTAATTAGAGCGGGCGATGCACTAACTGCACACGGATTATCGCTGGAAATTAATGAAAGTGAGGGCAGTTGGTCGGGATAAACACACAAAAATTGGTCGAAGGTTAGTTGTTTCCACAGAACTTCCCTCGCTCCTGAAGTGCGTCAAACAATTTTTTTTACTAGCCTCTAAAAAATAAAAACCAGTGGCGTAAATAACACTCCCGCAGCTTTTTTTTTATTTCTTCAGTTTTTCGATTTGCAATTTTTCAAGTTTCGTTTCGGTGTTTGTTTTTTAATTTTTATTTTCAGTGTTTTGCAGGTTTAATTTTTTCATATCTTCAATTTTTGTTATTTTTCGAGTTTTCAAGTTAAATTTTTCAGTTTTCAATTTTCCAGCTAATGAATTCTTCATTTTTTAGATTTGAGTCTGCCGAATTTTCAATTTTTAATTATTCATTTGTTCGATTTGCAATTTTTCGTTTGGGTTTTTGTTTTCTTTATTTTGTCAATTATGATTTTTGCTTCAATGTTTCGATTTTATAATTTTTTGCTTTTTCAATTTTAAATTTTTCAAGTTTTCGTTTTTCTTGTTTATTCAATTTGTAGGCTTTGCAATATTTCAGTTTAACATTTCTCGAGTTTTCAGTTGTTATTTTTCAATTTTTCGATTCTTTAATCTATCATTTGCTTCAGTTTTTTTATTCCAATTTTCGGAAATTTCAGTTTTTAGATTTTTCAATTTTTCGATTTGCAGTTACACATGTTCTCAATTTTTAATTTTTCAATTTTATTCAATTTTTCAATTTTTCGTTTGTTCTATTTGTTGATTTGCAATTGTCGTTTCGGCTTTCTAGTTTGTTCATTTTTTACTTTTTTTTTGTTTTTCAACTTTACACAATTTGACAAATTTTCTATTTTTGAATTATTGGATTTTAAAACATTTTCATTTATTCAATTTTCAGTTTATTCGTTTTTAATTTTTCGATTTTTAATTTTTCAATTTTTCGATTCTTCAATTTTTCATGGTTTTGTTTCTTCAGTTTTTTGTTATTTTTCGAGTTTTCAAGTTTAAATTTTTCTGTTTTTTAGTTTTCCAGCTAATGAATTTTTCATTTTTTAGATTTGAGTTTCACGAATTTTCAATTTTTAATTTTTCAATTTTTCGATTCTTCAAGTTTTCATGTTGCTCTTTCTTCAGTTTTTTGTTATTTTTCCAGTTTTCAAGTTTAAATGTTTCTGTTTTTCAATTTTCTAGCTTTTGAATTTTTCATTTTTTAGATTTGTGTTCCCAGAATTTTCAATTTTTCATTATTCATTTTCTCGATTTGCAATTTTTCGTTTTGTTTTTGTTTTCTTTATTTTGTCAATTATGATTTTTGCTTCAATGTTTCGATTTTATAATTTTTTGCTTTTTCAATTTTAAATTTTTCAAGTTTTCGTTTTTCTTGTTTATTCAATTTGTAGGCTTTGCAATATTTCAGTTTAAAATTTCTCGAGTTTTTAATTGTTATTTTTCAATTTTTCGATTCTTTAATCTATCATTTGTTTCAGTTTTTTTATTCCAATTTTCGGAAATTTCAGTTTTTATATTTTTCAATTTTTCGATTTGCAGTTACACATGTTCTCAATTTTTAATTTTTCATTTTTATTCAATTTTTCAATTTTTCGTTTGTTCTATTTCTCGATTTGCAATTGTCCTTTCGGCTTTCTAGTTCGTTCATTTTTTACTTTTTTTTTGTTTTTCAATTTTACACAATTTGAGAAATTTTCTATTTTTCAATTATTGGATTTTAAAACATTTTCATTTATTCAATTTTCAGTTTATTCATTTTTAATTTTTCGATTCTTCAATTTTTCATGGTTTTGATTCTTCAGTTTTTTGTTATTTTTCGAGTTTTCAAGTTTAAATTTTTCTGTTATTTAGTTTTCCAGCTAATGAATTTTTCATTTTTTAGATTTGAGTTTCACGAATTCTCAATTTTTAATTATTCATTTTTTCGATTTGCAATTTTTCGTTTGGGTTTTTATTTTCTTTATTTTTTCAATTATGTATTGGATTTTTGCTCCAATGTTTCGATTTTATAATTCTTTGTTTTTTCAATTTTAAATTTTTCATGTTTTCGTTTCTTCAGTTCTTCGATGTGCGATTTTTCAATTTTTCATTTTTCTTGTTTCTTCAATTTTTACACCTTGCAATATTTCAGTTTAAAATTTCTCGAGTTTTCAATTCTCATTTTTCAATTTTTCGATTCTTTAATCTATCATTTCTTCAAATTTTTTAAGTTTTTTGTTTTCTTTATTTTTACAATTTTTCCATTTTTCATTGTTCCGATTTTATCATTTTGTTTTTTCAATTTCAGTTTTTCGTTACTTGCATTTTCTGATTTGTAACTTTTGTAATTTTATTTATTTATTTTTTTTTCTATTTTACGAATTATACTCTTCGAATTTTCTTTTAGATTTTTCAGTTTTTGATTTTCGAACTTTTGGAAATTTCAATTTTTAGATTTCTCAATTTTTCGATTTGTAGTTACACATGTTCTCAATTTTTAATTTTTCAATTTTTCGTTTTTTCTATTTGTCGATTTGCAATTGTCGTTTCGGCTTTCTAGTTTGTTCATTTTTTACTTTTTTTTGTTTTTCAACTTTACACAATTTGACAAATTTTCTATTTTTCAATTATTGGATTTTAAAACATTTTCATTTATTCAATTTTCAGTTTACTCATTTTTAATTTTTCGATTTTTAATTTTTCAATTTTTCGATTCTTCTATTTTTCATGGTTTTGTTTCTTCAGTTTTTTGTTATTTTTCGAGTTTTCAAGTTTAAATTTTTCTATTTTTTAGTTTTCCAGCTAATGAATTTTTCATTTTTTAGATTTGAGTTTCACGAATTTTCAATTTTTAATTATTCATTTTTTCGATTTGCAATTTTTCGTTTGGGTTTTTATTTTCTTTATTTTTTCAATTATGTATTGGATTTTTGCTCCAATGTTTCCATTTTATGATTCTTTGTTTTTACAATTTTAAATTTTTCAAGTTTTCGTTTCTTCATTTCTTCGATGTGCGATTTTTCAATTTTTCATTTTTCTTGTTTCTTCAATTTTTATACTTTGCAATATTTCAGTTTAAAATTTCTCGAGTTTTCAATTCCCATTTTTCAATTTTTCGATTCTTTAATCTATCATTTCTTCAAATTTTTTAAGTTTTTTGTTTTCTTTATTTTTACAATTGTTCCATTTTTCATTGTTCCGATTTTATCATTTTGTTTTTTCAATTTTACGAATTATACTCTTCGAATTTTCTTTTAGATTTTTCAGTTTTTGATTTTCGAACTTTTGGAAATTTCAATTTTTAGATTTCTCAATTTTTCGATTTGCAGTTGTTTCGGCTTTCTAGTTTTTTCAGTTTTTAATTTTTATTGACTTCTGAATATTTAATTTTTGAGTTTTTCAATTTTGACGATTCTACAATTTGTGGGTTTTCCAGTTTTTCCATTCAATACGTTTTTTTTTTCTTTACAATTTTTCGATTAATTAGTCTTTTAGATTTTCAAGTTTCTTCATTTTTAGTTTTTCAATATTTCAATTTTTTGTTTCTGCAGTTCTTCGATTTCTGATTTTCTAGTTTTTCGATTTTTAAACTTTTCAAAAATCAAAAGATGGAAAAATTGCAAAATTGTGAAACGAAAAAATCAAAAAAACCCGAAAGAAAATTATAAAATGAAAACTTTGA